ACCAAGCAGACTTTACTATGTCAGAATGAAATGTAGATTAATGACTTTTAAAATGGAAAGTATGGGGTGGGGCATATTTCTCCTTTCAAATGGTTCCTCCCTATCCCAAGGCTTGAACAGAAAACCATGGATTTGTGGGAAAGATTAAAAACCAAATACATTTTTGTTCTTTCTAGGTTATGTGGCATAATTCTAAACCAGCTTCTAATGTAATATTGTTATAGATAACTCATACAGCTGCAGATCTCTTAAATTCCAGAAGTGGTAAAGTAAATGATAGTGTCACTGCTATTGTGTTTAATTGGATTAGTAAACAAAAGTACATTCTTAATGCTTTAAGCTGGAAACGAACTTTTTAACTCTGCAGAATATGGAACATCTTGATCAGAGTCTCTGGTATTACTGACAGAGCTTGGTCTTCAATTTCCAAGATGACTGGCCACAATGAATTGGGGATTCCACGAGTTGTAACTTTCCCAAACTCTTTTGTATGATCATGGCTATGCCTTGGCATAAAAACGACCTTTATTTCTCTTTCTTCAGACCTGCTTCAAATCGCTCTACTTCCTGGATTCACATGGATACACAGTGAATTGACTCATAAGTAAGAATGAAGATGAAGATGAACCAAAGTGAACATGAACCAAAATGATCCTCCATTATGTATTCTTTATTCCTTCTGTTGCTCACTCCCTTTAAGATTAAAGTCATGACTTGTATTAAGCCAGGGTTCACTATGATGTATGAATTGAATTATTCTGTCTTAATGTTGGTACACAATCCAGAGTTTAAATCTCATTCGTAGTTCCAACAAGGGAAGAGTCACTCAACAATTTTTTAAATTGTGAATACTTATGTAATTCTCATTTTTTAAAAAACATGTCAGAAGTGAATTAAGAATATACTGCAAGTTGCTTCTGGTGTGAGAGAACTGGCCATCTACAGAGACATTGCCCAGAATATGCCTGGATGTGTTACCATCCTGTGGGATGCTTCTCTCATATCCCCACATGGGAAGCTAGAGTTGACAGATGGGAGGTCATCCCATCTCGCAGATTCGAACCTCAGACTTTCAGATCTTCAGGTCAGCAGTTCACCCAGCACAAGGGTCTAATCCATTGTGCCACTGTGGCTCCCTGTAATTCTCATTGAGCCAATGGGTCTACCAGGGAGATGTATGCCCGTTAGTCAGGAAAATAATCTAAAAAGTTGTAAGGTAGCCTGCTTTAATACAAACTGGTTTTTTTCCCCGTTCTGATGACAACCTCTTGAGGGAGAATAGAAGGGTGTGGAAATGAAGTAGTTTGCTCTAGTGCATTTTTGAGAGTTTAAGTCTCAAAACTACTCTGAATTCTGCAAATATCAAGGAAGAAGTCAACCAATATGAAAAATATTTTTCACTTCCTGCAAATATGGTCTTGGGAAAAATAGCTAATTGGAGTTTATGGCTGGTATGACAATGATGTCAAAAGATGATAATGTATTTTTGAGGAGTGAAAAGTTATGGCAAAGATTAGCTATTGACCAGATTTATTGATATGCCAATATAGACATTCTTATTTTCTGAGCTTTCTTCCATGAAAATATTAATTTTGTTTCTTCATTATAACTAGTCTACACACTGGCTGAAATTCAAATAACTATTTTAAATGAGGCCAAGGACTTGAGTATGCCAAGTCGGATTTTTCTTCTCTCCCGATTTCAGGCAGAATTTCAACAATATATTGCAGACCACCAAAATGTATCTTAATTTCAAGAGAAGTTTTCTATGGGCACAGGACACTGGCAACTGGGACTCCAATGAACCTGTTAGGAATAAGATTCAGCACCTTGGATAGCCCTTTTAAAGTCTGGATTAAAATCTGGAACAGATTCAGCACCAGCAAAGATTGACAAAACCCATCAATTCCCAAAGCCTTCTTCAACATACAAATAAATTGCACATTGTTGGAACTGGGCTACTACTTCCATTCCTGGACAATTAATATTAATACTATCCTGTTAGGTATTTAGATTATCCACCAAGTTTAGTCTGATGCATAATCTTGGCCTTCAATATTGTTATTTCCTATGTTGGGGATGTTTTCCATTTTTAATGTTCTCTAGTTCTCTAGCACAATTATGCTGGGGAAAGTGGAAGGCAAAAGGAAGAGGGGCCGACCAAGGGCAAGATGGATGGATGGCATCCTTGAAGTGACTGGACTGACCTTGAGGGAGCTGGGGGTGGTAACGGCCGACAGGGAGCTCTGGCGTGGGCTGGTCCATGAGGTCATGAAGAGTCGGAGACGACTGAACGAATGAACAACAACAAGTTCTCTAGCTTCTCTAAACCTACCATGTTGTCCATCTCCAACTTGAAGTATATTTATAATTATTGTTTACACCATTGTACAAGTAAATCTGCAATTGTTGTTTATTCTGTTGTATTATAAATAATGGGGAAAGGTTGGGATATAAAGTTAATTATTATTGTAAATATTGTTGAGCAGAATTAATCCATTGAGTCTTTTCAGCAGCATAAATATATCAGACATTAGCAGTTGCTCTAAAAAAGACTTAATACAGTCCTACAAAATGCAATCCTTTGAATGCAGTGTGTTTCTTTTGTGTAACCTTCAACAGGCTTATACTGCAAGTGGTATGTAATATGGCTCACGTTTGGGCAAAAGTTAAACAGACATTGCATTTGTTTCATAATCCTTTCAAATTCTATTTCCTGTGAGAAACAAGCTAAGGGATGGCACAGTTTTCTCTATAGGTTCTACATTTCTGACTGTTTGCCCATTCCACTTGGAATCTATACATTTATAAAGTCCCCATCCACAATTATCCTCTCTCCTCCTTCCAGGTTAGGAAAACACATCCTGAAGATGGTTTTTGTTATTTTAGCAAATTGTGAAATATCATAATTAAATCATTGCGCAAAAATTGAAATGACTATGATAATTAATAGCGCAATACTGAGATTTTTATACTTTTTCATTCATCAGTCTTTATCAATCAGTCAATCAATCAATCATGTCTTCCCCATCAATCAGCTAGACTTTTTGTACTTCTTATAGGTGTGTGCTGTCTTTTAGAAAGGGAAAAGACAGCTCATTTGCTCCCAGACTTCTTTTAATCACAAATTACAAAAGCCTTCCTGAAAAAGAAAGGGCTTGCATTGGAAGCAAGAACTGTGGCAGTTTGTCAGCAAACTGTCTCAGCATGTCAGGAAAAACTCTCTTGCTGAATTTTTTTTGAGAAGATACTCCATATCTCTATTCTATGTCAAATCCAATCTCAATTCTTTTTAAAATGCAAACACATATTTGCATGTATAATTACATTCCTTGAATGCATCTCATTCCAACAGATATACAGCATTTGGGTCACATTTGAAATGTGCCACTTATCTTTGGGCACTTTGTTTCTCAGACAGAGAAATGGACTGCACCCATCCATTAACATGGGGATTCTGGAGAGCAAAAGTAATCCCCACTTCATAAAATATGGGAAATATGGTCCATTAAACCTTAAAATTGAAACTTGCTTGATCATATATTCCTAGGTTGTATCCTGTGCCATTTCTAAATGGTTAGGTTGTTTCCTTTAGTAGGTGAGCTCTTACAAACATATGGAAATGAATACAGAAATAGATATTTTAGTCACAGAATTGAAATTATAGCCTAGTTCACTGCATTGGCAGAAGGGGACCCACAACTTTCAAAATAAAATATGAACACAAAGTGTATGATGTTTCTTTAACAATCTGCTAACATTGTCAAACACACTGTTGCAAATTGAAATCACCTAGCAATGAAGTTCAAGATACAACAAACAATGAGTAACTAAAAACACACGTACCACTAGAGTGAATTGTTAGCTTAGTTTTAGTCCCCTTTAGATCCCAAAGTGCTGCATGATTTACAAAAAGAGTGGTATGACCAGTTTTATTTCATTCCCATGCAATGGCTTACTAATCACAAAACTTTACATCAGAACTGTGACATTATGATCTCCTGTTCTGTATCATTTTTGGACAATTAATTCACTTGCATTTCAGAATTGAAATTCATAATTAATTTCTCCCTCATATATGCCAGTAGTAATTTATTGATAGATTTCTGCATCTGAAATTCTGTGTCCTAAACTTTACTAAACAAATTTATTGGAAGAGCTTCCGATTCTGTATTGTAGCTCTTGAGTGAACTCCTTGAAATCTGAAACGTTCCCATGAATTCTGAAATTGTATGATCCCCGCTTCACTATAAGCAATAGCTAGAGATGTATCCATCCACTGTACCTAGCCCTGAATTCAAATATATAACTTCATAATACTAGCAGTTACAAGGCCCAGCATGAAAACCAATGCTACATTACTGTTGCCATATAAATCATATAGAATTATAATAAACATAAATGGCATTGTAAAATCCCTACATAATTTATTATCTTTTTCTGCCTAAAGAAAATAGCTGGTATCCTACCAGCCTGGAAATTGTATTTACACCTTACACCAGCTGGAAAGAGGGGAAAATCACATGTTAGCAATCACTGATGAAATATATGATCTCTTAAGAGAACAGCTACAAAAAATGTTTTGATGGAATCAAATGTTCGTCTATCCTTGCTACATTTACTGGACACTAAATCCACAATCCTAAATCCACATATCAAACACACACACTACAACTATGTTTGATACCTCTGACAATCACATTCAGTACAAACTTTCAGATAAACTAGTAGAAGACAATAAGGACAAGATCTTTAGGCTTTTGTGTGGAGCAGACAGGATAGACACTTTCCTTCTCTCTCTCTCTTTTTAAACTTTTCCTTATTTAAACTACTTTAACAGATCCATTTATCACAAGCTATTTCTCCTTTCTGCACAGCTACCAACCAACAAAAGTGAAGTCTACTGTTCTTTTAAGATGTGTTAATTTGATCTTCCTCTGCATAGGTTTAATGTGCTTTTTTCCAACCCAGGTTTCGTTTTGTGACCACTTTATACATACCTCCTTTTCTACAAATTTTCTTGCCGGGTTTTCTGGCACATTCCTTGGATATTCTTTTGACTGAAAAATGAATAGAAGACTAGAAAATAACATGGAGCTCCGTGACAGACAGTAGGAGCATGCAATACCACTAGCTAACTTCAAGATGACCTGCTTTTTTATGTATTTATTGGTTAGGTGCAGAAGAGGTTTGACTCCTTTTTGCCTATCCATGCAATGGATCAAGATGTTGATGCATCTTTCCCAGAACTCAATGGGTGGGAATGGGAATTAGGTACCAACTTTGACCCAAGAGTACACGTGCTAAAGGACAAAGAAAATAGACAAGAGAAGAGAAGGGACAATAGAGGCTAAGAACTGATGCATACATAGAAAAGCCACATGCATACAAATTTGGGAGAAAAAAATGCTAGCATGCAGACAAGAAAGCCGTGCTGGCTACCAGTACATATGATTTAAGAGTAAATAACTTCATAGGAAAGTAAAAACAAAAGATCTCCCTGCTTCTCCTGTAAATAACTCACCATCTTCAGTTGGGACATATATATTCAAATAGAGGCAGTCTTCATTCTGATCCTGTACATAGGTAGAAACTATATCCAAGTTATTAGTGAACCAGACAGGAAGCATGACTTCAGGTAACCGGCCCTCTATAATGTTCTGGGGACACACTGGGGCGAACTGTGTAGCATTTTTGATGTCTGGCCAAGGAGATGGTGGTTCAGGAGGCTGAAATCGACGCTCTCCAGTTGGTGGGGCAGCATAAGGAACCCCAAAAAACTGAATGACAGGCCCCAGAATTTCATTGTTCAATTCCTTCTTCATCCCTCGAACCTTTCCAAAGCTGGTGGTCACCACAGGGTCAGTATCATCCAATTTTTGTGATGACACGGCAGCAGCATGAAGCAAGAACCCAAGTACACAAAGAGTAAATGTTGCATCCAGTCCCATATGCAACAAGCGGACTAGTATCGCTCGCCAAACACAGTTCAGCCACATGGATCTTGGAAAGGCCATGGTCCCACATCAGTTGTATAGCTATGATTTGAACAACCTTATTTGTATCCGTTTGCTGGGAAGGGAGGTGATAAACTAGGGTTTTTCACAAGAGACCCATGAAATGAAATGTATGGGTTGGGTCTCCAAAATCCGAGCCTGTCAGAAAACTCTCTCAACGCTCTTCACACGATAAGCATCTTCCATTGATTTCATTCTTGCTGAGATAACATCTTCACGCAGGCCTATTTATCAGACTACATTCAATTGACAATTCTGTTTTCCACAGTAGCAATATGAAGAGAGCATCCATTTACTGCAGATTCCCCATTTATAAATCAATTCCAGTTATCTGCAGGTCTGTATCCTGGAGAAAACGAAAAAATAAATCATTAGTATGAAAAGCTAATATAGGCAGAATAATAACCAGATGTTTTACAAGTTACTATACAAACATTAATAGTCACAAGAGTCGTGTAAGTAAAATTATGCAGTAAGTAGTTTATGATTCCTTGGGATGACAGGTAAAATATGAATTCCCAAGATATTTATTATGTTGCCCTACCAAGTTGATTTTACAGACTTCGAAAGACGGCTTTAAATTTCACTTTTTCTGAAACCAAACACATGGATTCAAAGGCCAGATTAAATGCATTTTTAATGTTGTATTTTTAAATCTGTCTCAGAGGGACTTGCAATCAATTGTAAACTTGTTACTAGAGGATGGTTTAACAACAACCACAAATCAATTATAATTTTATACAATCTTAAGAGATGCAGTAAATACAAAATAGACCACAGAGCTCCATAGAAAAACATGTAAAGTGTTCTGAGATCAATCGACAGGAGGTATGGCTGATTTCCCTCACCCCCTCCATGGACCTGCCTCAGAATGACAACTCCAAATTAATTTCTGAAGTTATGGTTGCAATCTGATGTAATTATTTGGAGTATTATTTAATTATAAAATAAATTATGTTTAATCTGATTTAATTCAGCAAACATGTACATAATTCAATAACGCATATAATAGGCCTAGTTCAAGAATAACATGGTCACTTTCACTTTCCTAGTGCCTTCATTCTCACACAGACATGAGCCAATTTTCTAGGAAACCATCCTGCACTACTGAAGAATGTATGTTAATTAAACACCATGTGGACAGGACCAGTCACTGGGCTGTTAATGGGAAACTATTTTACCAGTGAGATAGGAAATGAATTGTATTATTGGTTGAGCCTAGATACTTCTTAAATGCTCTCTCTCTCTCACACACACACACACACACACACATCTCAGAGCATCATGGAGTTATGCCATATGGATGCAACACACATAGAATAATAGAATCATAGAATCCAAGAGTTGGAAGAGACCTCATGGGCCATCCAGTCCAACCCCCTGCCAAGAAGCAGGAATATTGCATTCAAATCACCCCTGACAGATGGCCATCCAGCCTCTGTTTAAAAGCTTCCAAAGAAGGAGCCTCCACCACACTCCGGGGCAGAGAGTTCCACTGCTGAACGGCTCTCACAGTCAGGAAGTTCTTCATGTTCAGATGGAATCTCCTCTCTTGTAGTTTGAAGCCATTGTTCCGCGTCCTAGTCTCCAGGGAAGCAGAAAACAAGCTTGCTCCCTCATCCCTGTGGCTTCCTCTCACATATTTATACATGGCTATCATATCTCCTCTCAGCCTTCTCTTCTTCAGGCTAAACATGCCCAGCTCCTTAAGCCGCTCCTCATAGGGCTTGTTCCTCAGACCCTTGATCATTTTAGTCGCCCTCCTCTGGACACATTCCAGCTTGTCAATATCTCTCTTGAATTGTGGTGCCCAGAATTGGACACAATATTCCAGGTGTGGTCTAACCAAAGCAGAATAGAGGGGTAGCATTACTTTCCTAGATCTAGACACTATGCTCCTATTGATGCAGGCCAAAATCCCATTGGCTTTTTTTGCCACCACATCACATTGTTGGCTCATGTTTAACTTGTTGTCCACGAGGACTCCAAGATCTTTTTCACACATACTGCACTTATAAATGATTGGACAACATCAAAATTAGGTTGACATATTGACCAACTTTAGAGGATAGAAGGTCCTGTATCTGAAATCAGAAGTTAATGGATGACAGAATCATATAATCATTGAGTTGGAAGAAACCTCGTGGGGCATCCAGTCCAACCCCCTGCCAAGAAGCAGGAAAATAACATTCAAAGCACCTCCAACAAATGGCCATCCAGCCTCTGTTTAAAAGCCTCCAAAGAAGGAGCCTCATAAGAAGGGAAAGTCATAAACTTGCCCATCAACAATCAGTCCTTAGACAACAGGATGAAGAGACACAGAGTTTCCTTCATCACAGTCTTCCTCGCCATGGTGAGATGTAGTAGATGGTGTTATTTCTAATCAAAGAACAGCAATTTTGTTGAAATTGCCACTTCTAGGTATAAATTACAATATGCCTATGTGTGTGTGCTCTTTTGTGGTGATATATTTTGTTATTTCCTGGCAATTTATTAGTGACTTCCTTACTTAGGATTGCCAAATAAATATATGACTGAAAAATATAGTATTAGACTTTGCCTCTGAACTACCCTCATGAGTGATGACCTGGCCCCAGGGAATCATTCACTAGTTGGTAAAGGTTCAGCTCTTTCATGTGCTTACTTTCTAACAGGTTGTTTCCATGTCTATCTTTTCTTTCTCTCTCGTCAGTTAAGAATATCAGTTAAGAAGCAGTCTATACTTCTATTTCTACAAAAGAAAAGTCATTTTCTTCTTAAAAAACAAAACAAAACAAGACAAGTTACTTTCTTCTTCAGAAAAAAATAAATGATAAGTCATACTGATGATAGAAATGCTATCACATTCACAATCACAACTTATATAATCTCGATGATAAATTAGACCATTATACACTTGCAAGTCCGGGGCAGGTAGAGAATAACAACAATCTATTAGAGATTTGTGTAATGTTTGTGTAATGACAGCCCTCAAAGTCAACCCAATTGTGTAGAACATGTGGCCTCCAGATGTTATGGACTTCAGCTCCCGGAATTCCTGATGATAGGGCAAACTGATTAGGGCTTCTGGGAGTTGGGAGTCCTAAATACCTGGAAGGCCACAAGTTTGACACCATTGCATTAGCTCATTGCAGAGCCAAGGCTGTTGTTCTATTGCCAACACTAACTAAGAATTACCTGTCAGCTAGCATTCTGATCAGATATTGTACATTGAATGTGGAGAGTGTCATACAGTACTTCCTCAGCCTTATTTATTTATTATTTATTTATTTACTTCATTTGAATACCGCTTTTCTCAGCCCTTAGGCAACTCAAGGCGGTTAACAATAGCAAAAATTCAATGCTAAACCTCATAAAAACAGTTAAAAAACAATTAAAACAATAACATAATAAACAATTAAACATCAATATAACATCTCATTAGCATCTCATAAGTAGAATCAAGATCCTATCTCTTCATCCGTTGTTCCGTATTCCTATATTCATTACACTGCCTGTTCAAATGCCTGCTCGAACAACCAGGTCTTTACTTTCCTCCGAAATGCCAATAGGGAGGGGGCTGATGTAATTTCTATAAGAAGGGCGTTCCACAGCTGAGGGGCCACCACTGAGAAGGTCCTGTCTCTCATCCCCGCCAGACGTGCCTGTGTTGCAGGCAGGAATGAGAGCAGGGCCTCCCCAGATGATCTTAATGTCATAGCTGGTTCATAGGAGGAGATGCATTCGGACAGGTAAGTTGACAGCCTTGACCTCTTAGGAGTGTTTTTTTTTTCCAAATTTGCCCAACTCATTCCCTGTGTTTCCTTGTCCTGCACACAGATTTCTCCTCTGGTTTGGCATTATAGCTGTACACTTGCTTCATAAAAGCTTTTTTTCATTCATAGAAGCTTACTTCGTGAAAGCTTCTCCAAAAAATGGATCCGAACCAGTAGTTCTTTATCACAAGAAAAGAGATTTGAACTAAATATTGTGAAAAACATTGTGATTTGAAGAGCTGTTTGGCAGTGGAACAGACTTTCTCCAAATATGGTGAGTTATCCTTTATTGTAGCTACTTAAACAGACATTAGATGGCTCCCTTGATGCTTTCATTGTGGATTCCAGATGCAGTGTGGGATTAGACTACATGGCCTTTGGGCTCCCATCCAGCTCGGCAATTCTATATGCCTTCTGGCGTGAGATTTCTTATCTACAGTAGCCCAGATCCCAGAGGTAGAGCATCCAAACTAGATCATTTTAAGGCTTTATTTTCAGCACAGCTTAGGAGGTAGATATAAAAACATTTCTTTCATCATGGGTGATATTACATTTGCCAAGAAGGTTCTGTGGAAGATTTACAACACTGTTTACTCTGTTTATAAGGCCCCAAGGTCAAAATACTGGGATCTTTTATTTATGGCAGGGAAAATGGCCAGTCTTTACCTCAAGAGAAAACTGTGGGGTTCTCCCCCTTTTCTTCACTTACTGAACAGCTGCTCATGCTCATGCTGCTAGAAAAAGAATATCAAAAGTCTGTATCTGAGAATATCATTATGATTATAAGGCAGAGTCAATTTTCTTAGTCTTTCATTCTAATGATTTGGCTTTTTAAAAAGGAAATGTGTGAGCTGTATTTATGAGTTTAATGTTTGATGGTTAAAAAAGTTATTTCATGGCCATCAATTTAGACCAGGGTGGGCAAAATGTCACCCCTGGAGCCCAAGTTTGTGATCCTTAAAGATTCCCAATCATTTTTTAAAAATTGACACAAATTACAGATTATTTTTGCCTAAACTATGCAGAAAACCCTTCTTTCCATCAAAATACGGTACACCTCCACAAACACCCCAGAATCCCTTACAAACCACAATTGTCTGCATTTTCCTTTGCAGTCCCCCACAGATACGCTAAATTCTTAATGTAACAGTGCATAACTTATGGATATGAGAGCTGGACCATAAGGAAGTCTGAGCAAAGGAAGATAAGACACTTTTGAACTGAGGTGTTGGAGGAAAGTTCTGAGAGTGCCTTGGACCACAAGAAGATCCAAGCAGTACATACTCCAGGAAATAATGCTTGAACGTTTCACTGGAGGGAAGGATATTATAGGCAAAGATGAAGTTCTTTGGCCACATAATGAAAAGACAGGAAAGCTTGGAAAAGATATCCTTGAAGTGACTGGCTTGACCTTGAAGGAGCTGGGGGTGGTGACAGCAGAGGGAGCTCCAGCATGGGCTGGTCCATGAGGTCACAAAGAGTTGGAAGCAACTGAACCAATAAACAACAAGAAGTGGTGAGGGACATTAATGATATCTAAAGTCTCTTAGGGTCTGCCTTTCAATAATGGGAGCACCAAGAACCCAAAAAC